CCCCCCAGACCCCGGCCATGCTGAGCTGGCTGCGCCGGCAGCGCCCGCCGGCCTCGGCGGCGCCGGTGCCGGAGCCGTGCCCGGTGTCGGCGGCGCTGGCGGCTCTGTACCGGCGCAAGCTGCTGCCGGCCGAGGAGCTGTGCGGGCGCGCGGGGCTGCGCCGGGCGCCGCTGCTCGACGCCGACTTCCAGGCCAAGCCCTGGGTGCTGCTGCTGGGCCCCAGCGGCGCCGGCAAGAGCTCGGTGCTGCGGTACCTGCTGGAGGAGGCGCCGCCGGGCCCCGCGCCGGGCGCCGCGCCGGCCGCCGACGCCTTCGTGGCCGTCACGCACGGCCCCGAGCCCGCGCTGCTCCCCGGCAACGCCGCCGTGGTGGACCCGCGGTGGCCGTTCCGGCAGCTGGAGGCCTTCGGGGGAGCCTTCCTCAACCGGTGAGGGATTGGGGTGGGATCCATTGGGATCTGGGGTGGGATCTGTGGTGGGATCTGAGGTGGGATCAGTGGTGGGATCTGGGGTGGGATTCACTGGGATCAGTGGTGGGATCTGGGGTGGGATCAGTGGTGGGATCAGTGGTGGGATCTGGGGTGGGATCTGGGGTGGGATCAGTGGTGGGATCTGGGGTGGGATTCACTGGGATCAGTGGTGGGATCAGCGATGGGATCCATGGGTGCCGTGGTGGATCCCCGGGGCCGTTCCGGCAGCTGGAGGCCTTCGGGGGAGCCTTCCTCAACCGGTGAGTGGGGACGGGTGGGATCCATTGGGATTGACTCGGATCTGGGGTAGGATCTGTGATGGGATCAATGATGGGATCTGGGGTGGGATCCATTGGGATCAGATGGGATCAATGATGGGATCTGTGTTGTGATCCACCCCGAGATCCATGATGGGATCCGGGATGGGATCCGTGCTGGGATCTCAGATGGATTCTGTGCTGGGATCTGGGATGGGGTCGGTGCTGGGATCCGTGCTGGGATCCACTGGAATCCACTGGAATCAATGCCGGTATCTATGATGGGATCTGGGATGGGATCTCGGATGGGATCCATGCTGGGATCCACTGGGATCCAGCACCGTCCATGCTGGGATCTGCCATGGGCTCAACTGGGATCCCCCCGGGACCCACCCGGGACCCACCCGGGACCCACCCGGGACCCACCCGGGACCCACCCGGGATCCACCCGGGATTCCCCCGGGACCCACCCGGGATTCCCCCGGGACCCACCCGGGATCCCCCCCGGGATCCACCCGGGATTCCCCCCGGGATCCACCCGGGACCCACCCGGGATCCCCCCGGGACCCACCCGGGATCCCCCCGGGATCCCCCCGGGACCCACCCGGGACCCACTCGGGACCCACCCGGGATCCACCCGGGATCCACCCGGGATCCACCCGGGACCCACCCGGGATCCACCCGGGATCCCCCCGGGACCCACCCGGGATCCCCCCGGGATCCCCCCGGGACCCACCCGGGATCCACCCGGGACCCACCCGGGACCCACCCGGGATCCCCCCGGGATCCACCCGGGACCCACCCGGGATCGGGGGTCCCCAGGTCCCGCCCGCCTCAACGGCTTTTCCCAATTTCCCCTTTTCCCATGTTTCCACCTCGTTTTCCCCCAATTTCCCCCCAGTTTTCTCTGGTTTCCCCCCATTTTCTCCGTTTCCCCCCAATTTCCCCCCAATTTTCCCTGTTTTCCCCCAATTCCCCCCAAATTTCTCTGTTTTCTTCCAATTTCCCCCAGTTTTCTCTGGTTTCCCCCCATTTTCCCAGATGTTCTCCTGATTTTCCCATTTTCCCCCCATTTNACCGGTGAGGGATTGGGGTGGGATCTGGGGTGGGATCAGTGGTGGGATCTGGGGTGGGATCAGCGATGGGATCCATGGGTGCCGTGGTGGACCCGCGGTGGCCGTTCCAGCAGCTGGAGGCCTTCGGGGGAGCCTTCCTCAACCGGTGAGGGATTGGGGGGGGATCCGATGGGATCTGGGGTGGGATCAGTGGTAGGATCAGTGGTGGGATCAGTGGTGGGATCAGCAATGGGATCCATGGGTGCCGTGGTGGATCCCTGGGGCCGTTCCGGCAGCTGGAGGCCTTCGGGGGAGCCTTCCTCAACCGGTGAGGGATTGGGGTGGGATCTGATGGGATCAACTCGGATCTGCGGTGGGATCCATTGGGATCAGTGGTGGGATCAGTGATGGGATTCTGGGTGGGATCCACCCCAAGATCTGTGCTGGGATCTGTGCTGGGATCCTCTGGGATCCAGCACCGTCCATGCTGGGATCTGCCATGGGCTCAACTGGGATCCCCCCAGGACCCACCCGGGACCCACCCGGGACCCACCCGGGACCCACCCGGGATCCACCCGGGACCCACCCAGGATCCACCCGGGACCCACCCGGGACCCACCCGGGACCCACCCGGGACCCACCCGGGATCCACCCGGGACCCACCCGGGACCCACCCGGGACCCACCCGGGACCCACCCGGGACCCACCCGGGATCCTCCCGGGACCCACCCGGGATCACCCGGGATCCACCCGGGACCCACCCGGGACCCACCCGGGATCCACCCGGGACCCACCCGGGACCCACCCGGGACCCACCCGGGACCCACCCGGGATCACCCGGGACCCACCCGGGACCCACCCGGGACCCACCCGGGATCCACCCGGGATCCTCCCGGGACCCACCCGGGACCCACCCAGGACCCACCCGGGACCCACCCGGGATCCACCCGGGACCCACCCGGGATCGGGGTCCCCAGGTCCTGCCCGCCTCAACAGCTTTTCCCAATTTCCCCTTTTCCCACGTTTCCGCCTCGTTTTCCCCCAATTTCCCCCCAGTTTTCTCTGGTTTCCCCCCATTTTCTCCGTTTCCCCCCAATTCCCCCCAGTTTTCTCTGTTTTCCCCCAATTCCCCCCAAATTTCTCTGTTTTCCTCCAATTTCCCCCAAATTTCTCTGTTTTCCTCCAATTTTCCCAGATGTTC